TAATGTCGCCTTGTTGCAGTCTGTGGCCGCTGCGTTGCCAAAAGCACTCTGGCACTCGAAAAGAGAAAGAACTGGATGGGTGGATGTTTTCCTGAGATGATCGGGATAATTGAAAATCATGAATTTCTAGTTTTCTTTAAGCCCTTGAAGAGCAAAATCGAGTTAACGCGCAGGCGAAACGCAAATTTTCACTCTTGAGTCACACGCCTGCCAATCGAAATGAATGTCCATGTTGCAAACAGTTTTTGACGACTCCTGCAAATACCAGCATTTTATCTTTTAGCTTCAAAACACAGAATTTCAAATTCGTCAACCTTACAAGGGCGCCGAGTCAACCGGTTGCCTTTGTCTTTGGAACCTACCGGAAGGCAAAAACTGGGGAAGGGTTGTCGATTTTTTCGATTGTAATCTTACCACCAACTGTACAATGTTTCCAAAGTACTGTGGGCACCATGCAAAGTCCACTTCCTTTCAAAATTCATTGTAAATACCAAGCAAATTTGTGGTTTTCACACAGGCACCTGTGATGATAGTCAGATTTTTTTCTTCTTCCAGCGTCTTCACATGTTCCACAGTGGTTTTTGAAAACACTGTGTAGGATTTGCTAACCCACCTGAAGCCTTCTGAAAGCGTGCAGAATAATTTCTACGGCGTAGCATCAAGAGCGTTTGAAAGCGTACAAAAGAACTTTTGCAGCGTAGCATTAAAAGCGTCATAAAGCGTACAAAAGAATTCTACGGCGTAGCATCAAGAGCGTCACAAAGCGTACAAAAGAACTTCTACGGCGTAGCATCAAGAGCGTAGTAAAGAGTAACCAAGAAAAAGAGGCCAAGATAAGAAACGCAGGCGACAAAACATTTTTCCCCCCCCCCCCCCCCCCCCCCCCCCCCCCCCCCCCCCGAACCAACACCAACAGTTGGAAGCACAGCCGCGATGTCAAAGCGACCTGGTCAACGCGATCAGCACTCGGAGAACCCCAGGGTTGCCGGGACATTGGTGGTGACAACATGCAGCAAAAGCCAGAACAGCAACAAACACATGGTAAATTCAAAACCCTTGAATAACCACATGTGTTAACTGGCTCGACTTGAGGTGTCTTCTTTGGATGTTTTGGAGGGATGAAACTTCGAAACCTCAGTTCTGGTACCATGCCATGTCCAGCCATTGAACTTTGGTTCCCCAACTGCAATAGCAGGATCACTCCAGGCTTTAGATGGCGGACTTTTGGGGTTCCTAGCAGTGTCGCAAGACATATTCATTTGCAGTTTCAATGGCTCTACCCGGCTCTACCCGACTTTCAACATGATCAACTATGCACTCGTCCAATCGCCCTGATGTGGAGCTCTCTGAAGCCATGTCATGTCTAATCGTACTGATTAATGAAATTATAGACGACTTCCTGCAGCCACCCTGTGGCTATCCACCATCTCCAGCCACCTCTCGTGATCACTCATTGCACACCCCTGGTCAACCAAGTCAGCCAGGGAGCCCCAGCTAGTTCCAGGCCAGCTCTAAGGTGGGGAGAAAGGGAGAAGTAGGATTTGGAATCATTTGGAAGCAGTTCAGATATTTCCTGGTGAAACTGATACAGCACCAGATTACATCTTTGCCATCGGGTCCAAGATGGCTTGCAGCCCCACACAGCAATAGCCAGCAAACTTCACCAGCATTTCGCGCAAATCCAAAGGCAGAACCACTATATACACATTCTCCACCAGATAATTTGTCCTTCAACCCTGACCCAAACTTGGTACGATACTTTGCCGCACACTTTCTAGCTTTTTGACGTGTTCATGTCTCTCTTTGCTAAACATTTAAAGCTGCAAAGTCACCGAGTCAGACCGAGACATAGTTTTGAACATGTAGACGTTTTGCTGAGGATTCCATTGGCGATCTTGCTGGTGATGCTGGAGATGCTTGGCAAGCCTTTTGCAGATGAACCAGACCGCCTTAAGCCTTGAGTTCTTGTATGCTTTTGGTATTGCTGTTGGTATTGCTGATATGTGTTGATTGTAGCCAAATTGCAAGGCCAAACTGCAGAGCAGTTGCCTTGGCACCTGCTCGCAAAGTTCTCTGGACAGCTTCGATCGCAGTCATTGCACGTTTGGCGACTCAGGATGCCATTGGGGATGTTGCCGGTGACGTTGGCGACACCTGGCCGAATAGCGAACAGGCAAGCAACAGGAAACCTCTCCGCCCTAGTAGACCCTGTCTCTCCAGAGATGCAAAAAGGATCGCAAGCACTTCTGGTGAACTCTCCTCCGTATCTCACAGTCATGGAAGACAAACGGCACATGTTTTGGAAGCAAGAAACTATCTCTCTATCTATCTATCTATCTATCTACTTATCTACCTATCTGTCTGTCTGTCTGTCTGTCTAATCTAGTCTAATCCAATCCAACCCTAATCCAATCTACTGTAATCCAATCCAATCCGATCTAATCCAATCCAATCGATATAATCATATCTATCTATCCATCTATCTATCTTTTCCTATCTATTCATTTCTATTCCTATCTATTCGTATTTATTCCTACCTATCCCTAACTGAATTCCTAGCTATTCTTATCTGAATTCCTATCTATTCCTATTTTGTCGTATCTATTCCTTTTTTTTTGGCATTTTTTCGTATCTATTCCTATCTTCTCCTATCTATTCCTGCCTAATCCTGTCTAATCCGATCTAATCGGATCTAATCCTATCTAATCCCATCTAATCTTATCTAATCGATCTAATCCGATCTAATCCTATCTAATCCTGCCTAATCCTGTCTAATCCTATCTAGTCCTATCCAGTCCTATCTAATCTTAACTATTCCTATCTAATCCTATCTAATCCTGTCTATTCCTGTCTAATCCGATCTAATCCGATCTAATCCGACCTAATCCGATCTAATCCGATCTAACCGGATCTAATCTTATGTAATCTTTTTTAATCCTATCTAGTCCTGTCAAATGTGTCTAATCCTATCTAATCCTATCTAACCCTATCTAATCCGATCTACTCCTATCTAATCCATTTTAATCTTGTCTAATCCTATCTAATCCTGTTTAATCTGTCTAATCTGATCTAATCCCATCTAATCCTATCTAATCCCATCTAATCCTATCTAATCCGATCTAATCCTATCTAATCCGGTCTAATCCTATCTAATCCCATCTAACTACCTATCTACCCTGTTTTCCGCTTCCAACATCCCATTGAAGTTACCTTTTTGTTTGTTCCCCGATTAGGGTGTAGGCATGTGTGGGTGTTGGAGCCGTAATGTCATCACATGTCCTTACGTGTGGAAACCTTTATGGAAAAGAATCTGATTCACCGACGCCTCTTAAAATGGTCATGTGTTGCACTCTCTTACAATGATATTTTTCTGAATTATCCCGTCTTTAGAACCTTTATATCGGCTATCACCCTTTTTTCCGGGTACTCGAAAATGGTCATGTGTTGCACAACCCTTCATTGTACTGCAAAGCAATGCCAAGGACTGGCTGGCTGGTGCCACTGAGGCAGGTGTCTACCTTCGATCTCCCTCGAACAATTGTCACAACTGTCAGAGTAACTGAAGCGCTCAATGAATCTCTGAGATCATCTCTAAAATCATCTCTTTACTTTACATCTCTTTTACCTGGACTTGGATTGACTAGCTACGGCAGTATGGCTACGGCATTCCCTGACAATGGTCCACATCACAACCGTGCTGGATCGTTAAGATTCTAAGGTGATAGCAAGACAACTTGCTGCAGTCATGATTCAGTTTCTACTTTTTCTTGTGGTGGCTCAAAGTGTCGGTAGTCAGTTGAGAACTGTTCTCTCGGCATTTGTCTAAGAATATGTTCGTTTCAGTAAACGATCTTTCGACATCTTTCGACATCTTTCGATTGTGGTTTAGGCTTCGAAATTTCATTTTTGTCCTTGAACTCCAATTCATGTCCTCAGCTTCGGACACCTTCGGACACCTTCCGACAGCTTGCCAGGATGCAGGAGACTTCATCATGGATCTCTTCTAAAGACAAAGTTCTGTCCCAAAGCCAGCAGCAGATGTCTTGCATTGTTTGAAACTCGCATGGAGCTAGATTGGATGACAAGTTACACGAGGATGAAACTGCTTTAACTTCTTTGACCCAGCTTGCTTGCCTCTCCATCAATTCCCTTGCAAACCTAACAACGGCGTGGCCCGGGTATTGTAACCCGACACACTTGAATCATTGGAGTTGAAACAGTGAAACATTGCACGATTCAAGCCCGATTCCCGCCCCTAACAGTTTCTGCTTTTCGCACGGGCAGCGCTTCCCGAAGGGATTGTGTTGTTCACCAAGCTTATTGTACTGCGATCAGCAACCTCGCTCTAAAACAGAGTGGTTGCAACACTGTCCGACAGTGTCCATCGTGCCAACAACAGCTGCTTGGCTTCTGGCATATGGAACATTTGACATAGCAGCTGTGGAAGAGTAGAACTGAGAACGACTGCCACATTATCCTATAGCTTCAATATAGTTTCCAGATGTTTCAGGATGTTTCCAGACTTCTCTTCGCTCTGTCACGTGCCATAGTGTGAATGGGACTTCCGGAAGGCGGATCAAGCTTTGGCCATGGACAAGTCACAAGTCCGCTGAAAAATAACCACAGTGGAGGAGGTCTCATGCCAAGATGTGAGCGTCACAGCCAGATTGAGTCAGATTGAGTATCTTAACATATCTTAACCATTTCTTAACCATCTCTTACCCGTCTTACCCAGAAAACCATAGAAAACCTGGAGACTGATGTCACCTGAGTCACCTGGGTACTCGCACGACTTCAAAACAACTTGGACTCCAGAAACATGATTCACTTGTCCCACCAAACTGCCAAGACTTGGAAAGATTTGCGAATACTTCCAAAGGTGGAGTCTACAACAACATTTCTTAGGGACCAAGACCATGCAGTTTCACAGCTGAAGGAGCTTGTATGCTGCAAAACCCAAAGAGCGAACAGCAAACTCTTCTTGTTCTTCTGCAGAAAAAGCTTGCCCTCTCAGAGCCATGGAAAGTCAAAGTATCGACGATAGACACATGCTTGTCGGTGAGGCAGGGGCAATCGCAGCTGCGATTGCACAGCCTTTTGAAAAACTTGGAGGTTGCCCATAGGACGAAAATGATGGAATCATTTGGTGATTGGACATTGAACAGCACACAAGAAATGCTCAGAGGATGTTGAAGACGACTCATCCGATGCTGAAGAGCCCTCACAGGAGATACGGCAGCTTTCCCTTTTCCTTCGTTAATGTTTGCAGCTGCCGTATTTGTTCTGGCAGTTTGATAAGAGAGCTGGGGACTGTGAGCTTGCGCTTTCTTAGACATCGCAAGATGCTGAGTATCTTCATCTAAGTGTCAGTTGACACATGTCTCTAAGCCAAAACCCTCATACTGACAAGATGTCCATCAAATGTATGACTTAAAAAATCATAAAGATGGTTGAAAACAAAACAAAACTAGTTCTTCACATGCGCAAGCAACACAATACATAATTGGTGACATGACTGCATAGATTAAAACCCTCGTCAAATGGGATTACCGAGATAAATTTACCGTTCAGATCCTCACTTCTTCTGCTTCATGCACTTCTTCTTCATGGCCACTTTCTCACAACACAATTTCTGCAGAATATGCTAGATGACTCAAAATAATTACAACATCCCCATACCTGCCAACAAATGCAGTATTCAAAACAAACATACCCTTCTGAATAAGAGTAATTTTCCTTTGGGGCAATGCCGTGTGTTTTTGCAGGGCATACACAAACAAAATATGAAGTATTGGTTGAAAAGTTGCACCATGCCCTTTGAAGGAGTGCAGTGTGCATTTCCAGATGTCTAACCCTCCTTGTAAAGGAGCAGTACCCCTTTTAGAAAAGTCAATATTTCTGCACAATATATGCAGTATTTTTGATATAGAGCATCCCTTTCAAAAGTGCAACGTGTGTGAAACCGTGAGCACTATTAAAGAACGCTCTTTCGCTTCTTACCACTGAACAACAACAGAATATTGTCCTGTATGGCAAAAAATCTTCCTGTGAAGAAGCAGCATTCTTGGAAAACTGGATTACTTTTGTTTGACATGTGTACTCTTCCCCCTTGGTCGATCAGCCCAGCCTTCATTTAGACAACTCTCACTTAAAGAAATGATTTCAATACAATCCAACAATAAAGTTTTCGCTTTATCAAATATCTCACTCATATCAAGGGGGTGTTGCACAAATTCAACAACAAATTCTTCAAGGACGACCATACTCTTTCAAAAGAGTGCTGCATGCACACAATATACCATATGTTCAAACAATGTTTGATTGTCTTAAGATTTAAAGATGCACATTCTTCAGAAAAATATTTTTCAAGAGGAGAGCTGCCTACAGCAAAGGGTGTTGTTCCCAAAATATGGTTCGCTGTCTTGGAAGAATACCAAATTATGCATTCATAAAAATGATGTGCAATTGTGAAGGACATATTTTACGTGCTTACATGTACCATGCGGTCTTCATTTCCGACAATATATTGTGAACAGGGCATTGCATATGCAAGAGGGTTCATTTTTGACATAGAAGTAGACTAAGACATGACCTACTTCAATGGGACGCTCTACCATTTTAAAAGAAATGGACTTGTTGAAGGGAGCACTCACTTCAAAGAGATGCATCACTCCTTTTCAAGGGAATCCTTCAAAATGTTTGAATATGTGTCAACTCAAGGATTTGAGACTACAATGTCAATATCAGAATCAATTCTACACATTCATTGGCTGCCTATGTTTTTGCATTTGTTCAACACAGTTTTTGAACAATTATATAAACAGACAAAATTGCCTAATCTGTGTCGCAAGCCCCCCAAGCTTCCTCCAGTGATACCTGCATTTTGCGATGTTTTTTTTTTTGCATGGTTTTCTAATGGAACTACAGGCCCAAAGCAATCAATAAAATCAACCAAAAGTAAGTTTGCAACCTAAAGTGGGAGAACTGGCAAAGAGTGAGGTCTAGGTCCTTCACTTTTGTGTTGTTTTGCCAGCCCTTCAAAAAAACCAACAACGAACCAGAAAACCAAGAAACCAAGAAACCAATAAAAACAAAAAGACAAGAAACCAAAAAACAAAAAAAAACAAAAAAAACAAATTCCGAACCCCAAGGACCCCAATCTTTGTTACTTTCATGAGTCTGTTTTTTTTTCCCCTTTTCCTTTTCCCTTTGCAGCAGATTGGCATAGGCCAACAGACATGCAGCAAATAAATAGTTGGCCAACAGACATGCAGCAGATAAATATTTTTTTCTAGATAATTTGAGGAAAACTATTGCAAAATATTGCAAATTTGTGCACGCTGGTGGTGCCCTGTGGTTGCCTTTGGAAGATTTTCGCCAGAAGTTGGGATTTCAGAAAACAATGAGGGTAATGGGACATGACAGGATCTACCAGTTCGATCTGTAAGTCATTCATAAATCTGCAGAGTTTCAAGCTGCGAGCACTAGGAGATGCTTAACTTTACACAGTTTGCAGTGTTTGCACTACATGTTTGTTCCCTAACACATTCTGCATTCCACTTGACTGTTGCTGCCGGAGGATGTCATGGTATCTCGAACGTTACATCCATGGATGCGCTCCTTGGTGTTGCAATCCAGAGAGACAGGGCTTGGGAACTGACACTTCAACTTTCCATAACTTTCCATAACTTTCCATTGAAGCACCATGAAGCAATCCCAAGAGCTTCTGACTGAGTCGGCCTTTGAGCGGCCTTTGTGTTGTCCTCTCTTTGTCTCTTTTTTCTCTTTGTCTCCGATACTGCCCCATGAAGTTCGCAAACGAATGACTTCAGGCAGCTTGAAGCAGTTTCTCGGCGTGTCAAGAACTTTCAGGCAATGAGGTATGGTTTGAACTGTTTGCCGCGAAACAATTTGCCTGGGTACTGCATTTGTTGATCCACGGGCCACTTGTGCTTGCTATTCTTGATTATATACCTTTTGTTATGTAATTCTACATAATCGATCATAATTGTACTATGTATGTATGCATGCATGCATGCATGCATGTATGTATGTATGTATGTGTGTAATGTAATGTGATGTGATGTGATGTACTGTAATGTGATGTGATGTGATGAGATGAGATGTAATGTAATGTAATGTAATGTAATGTAATGTAATGTTGTAATATGTTGTAATGTAATGTAATGTAAGCTTTCAGAAAATTCAAAAATTCAAATTCCACAGCCGCAAAAACACAAAAACGGTGGTTGCCCTCAGAAAATTCAAAAATTCAGAAAATAAAAACCGCAAACGCACCAAAAAGGTGGTTGCTCTCAGAAAATTCAAAAACCGCAAAAGCACCAAAAAGGTGGTTGCTCTCAGAAAATTCAAAAATTCAAAAACCGCAGAAACACCAAAATGGTGGTTGCTCTAAGACTCTATGTTGCTCTCAGAAAATTCAAAAATTCAAAAATTCCAAAATTCAAAAACCGCAAAAGCACCAAAACGGTGGTTGCTCTCAGAAATTCAAAAATTACAAAACCGCAAAAGCACCAAAACGGTGGTTGCTCTCAGAAAATTCAAAAATTACAAAACCGCAGAAACACCAAAATGGTGGTTGCTCTATGTTGCTCTCAGAAAATTCAAAAATTCAAAAATTCCAAAATTCAAAAACCGCAAAAGCACCAAAACGGTGGTTGCTCTCAGAAATTCAAAAATTACAAAACCGCAAAAGCACCAAAACGGTGGTTGCTCTCAGAAAATTCAAAAATTCAAAAACCGCAGAAACACCAAAATGGTGGTTGCTCTATGTTGCTCTCAGAAAATTCAAAAATTCCAAAATTCAAAAACCGCAAAAGCACCAAAACGGTGGTTGCTCTCAGAAATTCAAAAATTACAAAACCGCAAAAGCACCAAAACGGTGGTTGCTCTCAGAAAATTCAAAAATTCAGAAACCGCAGGAGCACCAAAATGGTGGTTGCTCTCAGAAATTCAAAAATTACAAAACCGCAAAAGCACCAAAACGGTGGTTGCTCTATGTTGCTCTCAGAAAATTCAAAAATTCAAATTCCAAAATTCAAAAACCGCAAAAGCACCAAAACGGTGGTTGCTCTCAGAAATTCAAAAATTACAAAACCGCAAAAGCACCAAAAAGGTGGTTGCTCTCAGAAAATTCAAAAATTCAAAAACCGCAGAAACACCAAAACGGTGGTTGCTCTCAGAAATTCAAGAATTACAAAACCGCAAAAGCACCAAAACGGTGGTTGCTCTCAGAAAATTCAAAAATTCAAAAACCGCAGAACCACCAAAATGGTGGTTGCTTGATGTTGCTCTCAGAAAATTCAAAAATTCAAAAATTCCAAAATTCAAAAACCGCAAAAGCACCAAAACGGTGGTTGCTCTCAGAAATTCAAA